CATGGTGGCGGCTGGCAGTGTCTCTGACTCAGCCTTCCACTTCCCAGAATTCTTCTCCTCCTTGTCCTGCCTATACTTCCTCCTGCCTGACTACTGGCCAATCAGTGTTTTATTTACTAACCAATCAGAGCAACACATTTGCCATACAGAACATCCCACAGCAAAGTTGGACTTCAGTGGTATCCATACTTTGGTCTGCCATCAGTTCCCTATGTGGGGGTGAGTAGATTTTGTTCACACCTCACTAGATACAGGGTCACACAATAGCAGTGCATTTTCCTTTCCTGCTGACATGTGCTAACCTCAGATACAGACCCACATGAAGAAATGTATGCCAAGTCCAGAGCAGTGTGAAATTATGCTTCTGAACATGCTTTCTGTTTCCCAAGTGAATAGTCATGATCCTCTTCTGATGAGATTATTACCTACTAATTTGGAAAATGCATGATGGTACCAAGAGGAACTTAAAGATGGTTTATAATTAATACCTGATCTTTTTAAAGAATGTATAGTGGAGCTGGAGGATGGTTTAGTTGACAACTGTTGTGCCCATGTCTCGAGACCCCTGAGCAAGACCACCACAGAGCTGATAGCTGATGCAAACACACAGAGGTTTATCAATTACAAGCCCAGGCTTGGTCCATGTCCAACACTCCAACACAGCAGGTGAAAGGAGGAAGGCCCTGAGCTCTCAGAAGGAGAGGTTTTTAAGGGGAAATAGCACAAGCCTTTGTGTGATAGGACTGGGTGAGGTTGTGTAATCTTTGAATGTACTGGTTGGGGTCCAGAGGAATTTTCAACAGTGGTTATCGGAAGGACATTTGGAACCTGAAGATGTTGTTTTTCAGGATTGGTTTATCCGAGTGGGCTGCCATGGAGGTTGGTTGGCCTCTCACATACTGACTGTAGGAGCTGATTCAGTGGCCCAGGCTCTGTCCTTGACTCATGCACGTAGCTCTAAGTTGGTGAGGCGTCCCAGACAGTATACAACTGGCTGAACCTTGAGCAGTCAGAGTATGTGCAGAAAGGGAGCTACTGCAAGGACTATGTCTTTTGTTCACGGCCCTCCCAGAAACTGCTGCTCAAGTCTCAGGAAACTGAAATTGAGGCCTGATCTCTGAGAGAAGACTGAGCAGCCTGTTATGGTGTCTGCTTGGTTCTTTCAGGAATACGTTTGCAGCACAAGCAGGAGGGACTTGAGGTCAGATCCCCAGGACCCACATAAAAAGCTGGAAATGGTGGTACATGTCTGTTAACCCATTGCTGAGGAAGCAGAGACAGTAGATCCTCAGGGCTCCTTGGCCAGCCAATCCAGCTGAAGGTTCAGGAAAAGACCCTGTGGTAGTGGGTAGCTGTTCCAGCTTTGACCTGGAAGTACTACCCCCAATGAGGCTTTGGTAACTGTCACACCTACAACAAGGGGCACAGACAGGAGCCCTTAAGACCCTAGATTTGGATGTACCGGTGCTCCGCTGGACTGCGCTACAGCTTTCCTGGATCCTGTAACCTATCCCTTCACTTGTAAGTTACCCCACAAAATAAACCTTCCTTTTAACTACATGGAGTGGCCTTAATACAACAACCAATACCCTGTTCCTAAAAGTAATGTGGAGGGTAATTGAGGAGCACACTGACCTCCACAACCCACCACCACTACCACCACTCCACACACATGCAGAACTGCTGGTAGAGCTGAGGTGGACAGTCTGGCACACACGAGGCCTTGAATTCTACCCTTGGCACCACAAAGATAAATGTACGCATATATAAACATACATAGATTTTATATGTGCACTGTAAATGTGCTTATAACAGTGTGTGTATAAAATACACATATAAAACTGTATCAATTATTAGCTCACTCCTTTGTGCAAGTGGCTATTAACATTTATACAAACAATGGCATATTGACCTAAGAGCTAGAACCTGACCTGTTGTCTTAGTTTCTTCTTCTGTTTCTGTGATTAAAATACTCTGATAAAAATAACTTCAAAGAAAGTCTTTATTTTGACTTACATTTAAAGGGGCAAGTCTGTCATGGAGGGAGCAGGAAACTTGAAGGAGCAGGAGCTTGAAGCTATTGATCACTTGGTATCCACAGTCAAGAAGCAGAGAGTGGTGGATGTATGCCCTACTCAGTTCCCTTTCTCTGTTTATATAGTCCGAGACCCCAGCCAGTGAACGGTGCCATCCACAGTGAGATGGTCTTCATCCCTCAATAACGTAATCTAGATAACCCCATATAGGCAAGCCTAGAGGCTCATCTCCAAGTTGATTCTGTAGTCTGTCAAGGTGACAACATTGACCATCACACCTTTCTTCCCAGGCCTGTCCTAACCCCCAACAACCAAGATGCAGCCTACTGTCATTGCCTGCATGAATCTGCAACTTACCACTGCTGCTGCCAGCGGGATTCCGTCATCACGCATGCTGTTGTGACAGGAGCCTCCCTGGGCAGCTCGCCTTCGGCACGCTTCACGGTGGATGCTGTCTCATTCAAACCACCAAGTATTTTAGCATCTTCCAGGTTTGCTGTAAGCCGAGTCATCATGGGACCTTCACAACGCAAAGCTTACCCACACACATAATTAAGTCCGGCGTGTCCTAACTTAGCTTTCTGTTGCCTTGGTAAGACAGTCTGGCCAAAAGTAACTTAGGGAGGAAAGGATCTATTTCATCTTACATTCCTCCGTGGTCTCTACTAGGCCCATCAGGCCAGCAACTCACGTCAGGAACTGTCAGGAAGGAACTACAGTAGAGACCATTGAAGAATGCTGCTACCGGCTCACTCTCAGGCTCTCTCTCTCGGGCTTGCCCTCAGGCTCACACTCAGCTACCTTTCTTATACAGCCCAACCTACCTGCCTAGGGACGGTGCCACCCACATGGACCAGGCTCTCCTACATCAATTAGCAATCAGGAAAATATTGGCTTAAATATTAAGGCCACTCCACGTAGTTAAAAGGGAGGTTTATTTTGTGGGGTAACTTACAAGTGAAGGGATAGGTAGGTCACGGGGTCTGGGAAAGGTGTAGCGCAGTCTGGCAGTGTTCTCTGGAGAACTCTGCTCGGTCTCCCTCCAGTGTCCAGGGTCCATGAACCAAGAGAGCTGGCCCATCTGGATCTCAGGCCTTCGGGGGTCCTCTCTCAGCTCCGCCTTGTAGGTGTGACAGTTACTGAAGCCTCAATGGAGGGTGGCACTTCCAGGTCAAAGCTGGAATGGCTACCCACTACAGGAAAATGCCCCCACAGACATGCCCACCGGCCGATCTGATGGAGGCAATTCTTCATAGGAGTTCCCTCATCGCAGGTATGTCAAATCGACAATGAAGATTAGCCATCACACTAGGTTTGGGGGGGAACAGAAGGTGGTGAGAGAGACAACTACATGTAGGTCATAGCACTTTCTGGAAAAGCAGCTCATGTTGGTACCGTTGAGTGCATACCTGGAGTATTTCCGCACGTAAATGCCTTTATCGATGCACAGACAACAGGAAGTTCAGTGCAGAGCGTCAGGCAATGTGTGGCTCCTAGGATTTCCTTACAGGTGCCTGTTGGTCTTCCTCACTTAGGTCCTGGAAGAGTGCTGCAAGGACAAGATGAGGCTGCCTCCACCTTTGCTCCTTTCTGTGAACTGGTTCCTGTCCTGGAAACACACGTTCTTCTTATTTCCTTTAACGTAGCCTCTGAGGTCATCACGCTGACATCGCGTCTTCTGCACCCTCTTCGCTCACACTGTCCCCTTGACTCCTTCCTCCTGTGTGAGCTTTCTTACATTCTGCCTAAGGACTGCAGTTGGCTAAAAGCTTTGAGCAAAGGCTTGCTAATCTTGCTCCTTCGGTCCTCTGTGGTCGTTTCTGGTCCTTGTCCCTGAAGGGCACAGATGGCTGTGTAGCTCAGGTGTATTACCTGGTGGGACGCATTCATCTTTCATTGTACAAACCCTGCTTCTCTGTGGAGCTCCAGGCACATATTTAGAAACCTTCTTTCCCTCCATTTGACCAACTTTGTTCTCCGAGACAGAAGCCAGGGCAGGACTGTGCAAGAATGTCCTGGGATGTTTCCATCAGCTGCCTTAGATACACGGAGTCCTCTTGTTCCTCCAGGCCGGACCACCAGGGAGTAGAATAGCTTTTAGTATCACTCTGGGTTTTCAGTGTGTTCTACAAGGTAAGAATTATTTTATAGGAAAAATAAGAAAAATGAGAACTGAACCATCAAAATAGAAATCCCACTCTGTCTGGTTTGCCTATTTTGAGAAACATATTACACTGCAGGTAATTACAGATGCCTGAGTAATTCATTTAAAAAATAAAAAGTCTAAGATGAGTTGAATGACGTTAGAATTCCATTAATTTTTGGTTGCATTACAAAGATACCATTTCAACAGTGAGAAAACCAGTTCAAGGAGAATGTAACAGTGAATGTCCCCTTAGGTGTATTAGGTTAATCATGTAGTGAGCTAATTTTTATATTTAAAAAAAGTTCTATGGAGCAACAATGCATAGAGAAATTCCATCCTGTCAGTGAGCTGTGGCAGGTCTGATCCCATACAACCTTCCCAGGCACTGTGAGCCCTGTTATCCTCCCCTAAGAAAAGTGTTATTCACAGGCTGAAAAGTGCTTGGAACACAATATGAGGCTGTGAGTTCAACGCACAGAACAAGTATGAGAACGTCAGGCATGGGGGCACGTGCTTGTCACCCCAACACTAGGGAAGCAGAGAGGCAGAGAAGGCAGATTTCTGGGGCTCAAGGGCCAGCCTGGCCAAATCTGCAGCCGAAGGCCAGGGAGAGATCCTGTCTCAAAAAAAAAAAAAAAAAAAAAAAAAAAAAAAAAAAAAAAAAAGATGGGACAACAACCTGAAGGTTGCTAAAGGTCACTCAAGATTGACTTCTGACATGTATAATCACATATGTGCAAACACACACGTATGTATACTTATACACATGAACATGTATACTTATACACATATACTTATACACATGTTGTATATACATATAAATTAGAAAACACATCAATGCTGTGACTGCTGAAGTCTCTTTGACGCTTGTCGTGATTTCTCCCACATACGTGATCATCAAGTGAGGAGAAGGTCCCCAGGAAGCAGCGTGTACTGCACCCAGCGGGAGAGAGGCCATTTCTGTCCTGTGTTGCTACAAAGTCTCCATGAGACCTGTTTATCATTCAGGACAGCAGCTCTGGCTTGAAAACTGCTGCTAGCAGCGTTGGGTTCTGTTAACAGAAGGGCTATCGGGACATGACAGAACTATTTATGAAGAAAATCGGCTCCTGGTGAAACCTGTTCCTCCGTGTTTCCTTGACCTGCAGAGTTCGTGTTCTGGACCTCAGATGTATAATGCTTATTTCCCTGCCCTTGCTATAGACACTCAATAAAACAACTAATAAGAAGAATTTATATCAGCTCACAGTTTGAGGGGACACAGCCCATCACGGCAGGGAAGCCTTGGCATGGTGTGAGATGACTCCATGGTACTGGAAGTGCATGGTTGGGATGCCTCACTTCTTCATGTCTTGGCAGAACAGGAAGCAGAAGTGAAATGCTGGTGACCCTTCCAGTTCCTTCCTTTTGCCTCCTCTTTCATTAGGAGTGATGGCATTCACATTTATGGTGGGTCTTCCTTCCTAAGTCAGTCCTTTCGGGAAATGTTCTCACAGAGACACCCAGGAGTGTGTGTATCCTGGGTGATTTTAAATCCGGTCAAACTGACAGTGGGGGATTAACCATCACAGAGGAGAATGGGTCAGCCTGAGGTCCCCACCTTGCCAGGTGCTGTTCTGGGCAGTTATTGCCACACAAACCTCTGTGTGACCCTGAAGTCAGAGTGACAAGCAACTTTTCCTTATTTTCTTAGAAATGGAACTAAAATTCCACATTTCTCACGTGGGGTCAATGATACTCTGACAATGTTGTGGCACGGAATGAGAAAGTACCTTCAAACTTTTAAACACTTTTCCCCCAGGTAATTCTAAGAAGTGAAATCTGCTCTGCATATACCAAATGGGGGACAAAGGACAACAGAAACAATTTTTTTCAAGCATTCTACTTGGAATTAGAAAATTTAATTGAATTTTCACATAAACATTGGGGCCAACTTAGCAGAACTGAAGATATCCTAAAGAGACACATGTATTCTTCCTTTGGTCAACAGACTATTGAAATAATAGATTAGACTTTCACTCTTGCTGTGATAAAACACTCCACCCAGATAACAATGTGGCAACAGAGGGTTTGTTTAAGGTCACAACTGTACTGGCAGGTTTTGTGTCTCAACACACACTAGAGTCATCAAAGAGGAAGGAGCCTCAGCTGAGGAAATGCCTCCAGGAGACCCAACTGTAAGGCATTTTCTCATTTAGCGATCAGTGGGGGAGGGCCCAGCCCTTGGTGGGTGGTGCCATCCCTGGGCCGCTGATCTGGCTCTTTAAGAAGGTGGGTTGAGCAAGCCATGAGAAGCAAGCCAGCAAGCAGCTCCCCTCCATGGCCTCTGCACCAGCTCCTGCCTCCAGGTTCCTGCCCTGTCTGAGTTCCTGTCCTGACTTCCTTCAGTGATGAACAGCAATGCTGAAGTGTAAGCTGAATAAACCCTTTCCTCCCCAACTTGCTCTTTGGTCATGGTGTTTCATCGCAGCCGAAACCCTAACTAAGACAACAACCTATCACTGAGGGAGGTCAGGGTGGGAACTCAGGGCAGGAAAAGGCCATGGAGGAAGATTATTCCTCTTCAGCTAACTTCCATGGACAGGGCAGACCCGACTGTCTAGGAGGGGTGCCACCCACAGTGGACTGAGGCCTCCCACATCAATTCTTAGCCAAGACAATCCCTCACAGGCATGACCACTCTGATCTGGGTAATCACTCAACTGGCATGCCCTCAAATGATTCTAGGCTGGGTCAAGTTGAGAGATGAAGCTAACCAGGACACATGATCGCCAAAAATTGAAATTTCCTCTGAGATCTCATGCAGGGAGAAGAACAGTGAAGCCTGCTGTGAGCTGGAGGAGGAAATTGTCTCTCTGTAAGAGGTTTCACACATTTCTGACAACTTGTCACACCACTTTGTGGGAAAGACTGGAACCCAGGAATGGTAAGCCAAGGATGGGTAGAGCCACTTGACAAGAACTGATAAGCTATGCAGATCCCTAGCCTCTTGCTTCAACCTAAACCTCCTGTCTGGACCCTGAGGATGGGCTTGGGAGGAGGAGCCAGGGGACTTCTTTGTCCCTCTTCCCAACTGGGCCACAGTGAACCTTGCTTTTTACTAGTTTACTATTTTCTTATCTTGCTTTTGACTATAATTTGTTAGTTTAATGCGCTTATTGAGGGTAGGCAGCCAAATCTGCTTGTTAGAGGGCTCAGCTCTGCCCCTGACTCCAGTCAGAGCACCGCACATGCAAGTCACACAGAGTATTTGAGGGGTAAGGGATGCACTTCAATCAGTTCTTGATGATGCCAGGTGCTAGCACAGAGCTGGGCCCATGTCCTGCTGTCTGCTTCCAGCATAGAGCCATTGGTTTACCGAACTATTTTCATTCCAGACTCTCTGGAGGGCATCAATCAGCGTCCTGTTCACATTTATCGGCTCTGCTTCTGGTACACGGCAGGTATCCAAAATCAAGTGTTGAATGCATTGGTGGCCGCAGCACATGGGGAAAGGCTTTGCAAAGAATGGCTTGGAGCTTCAAGCAAGGCCGTTTTCAATGTTTCTAAAGGCACAGGGCCCCAGCCGGGATATTCTCTTGAGTACAGAAAAGCCTTCTGCTCATGACAGTGACAAATATATTAGCTAATAATCTGAGAGGTGCAGGTTTGACTGTGATGTTCCAATTATGCAAAAGTGACAAGAAACAGAGCTCAGGCAGTCGTGCCACAGCCCTGCTTTCCCGTGCCGCCTGCTGCTGCTGCTGCTGCTGCTGCTGCTGCTGCTGCTGCGGCTCCTCTCTTGAGCGGCAGGGAGGCCCACAGGAGGAAATGATAGGACTGATTAAGTATCTAGAGAGTTGGAGAAATGGAATGAAAACCTATGCAGAGTTAACTACCAATTAAAAATGATTTATCAATGCCAGACGAGCAGCCCAGACAATAAATGATGTTCGAACCAGGAACGAGCAGGGTGGGCTGAACTTTCAAAAATCAACTCCAAATCTAATAATTCACTGGGCTTCTCTTGCCCCCTGACTCATGAGAATGAAGGAAGCATTCTTTTCATCATTTAGAGTTTTCTTTTGGTCCTACATTCTCCAGGCAGCACGACCACAGGACCTGTTGTGGGGGCGGAGCACAGTGATCCACCGAAGTGGGCACCTTCTACACAGAATCAAGAGATTTTTAACAAGTGAATGTTTCATTATCGACCATTCATACCATATTGTTCAAAAATAATGTTAGCACAATAACTTTTTTAAATGTAAAGTTACTTGATTACATCTTTTTATTAAACCAAGTGTACCCACAAATACTGAAATTGTGCATGCAAATCGGCTAAAAACACAAAAGCCTCAGAGCAGGGTGCAGATGAATTTTGATTAAGGAAAGACCTTTCAAAGCAAAAGACAAAAGACCTTAAAAAGGAAAATATTAATACATTCAGCTGTTTAAAAATGTCATTTTAATCAAAACTGCACCCAAATTAAAAAAAAAACATACAGCAAACTATACAAAAGCAGCGTCAGGAAAAATAAGGAACTAGAGGAAATAGCCACAGTATGACCTTGGATTCTCCACCACCACTGCC